GTGATGACGCAGGTAAATTCTGAATTAATAACACAAACTAAACAATTGAATGTTTGCGTGAATAAATCAAATAATCTACAAGTTTATCTCATTGCATCAATATTGATTTCGAATCGAAAGTCGCATGACTACAAGATCTCTATTTCTACATCAGTTTTTCGATTGATTCGAGATTTCCTTTCAATTTAAATAGATTGAATTCAAATAGATTGCAAAATTGATTCGAGACTTCTTTTTTATTCAAATAACGAAACGCTTGTCACGCTCGAATAAAGTTTAATCTACGATAAGCTCTTTGCTTCCTATTTCTTGCTTTTTCCCTCTTTGTAACCGTTTTATTGACAAATACTACTTGTCTCTTCTGAAGTTAACTTTTATCGCGAACAATAAAAAACAAAGAAATAGGATAAGAAGTAAAAAATAAAAAGAAACAGAAAGCAAAGAATATTGTAGATCAAGCTTAATTGGCGAAAATATTCGAGCGGCATTAAAGAGAGCTTACGCATTAAATTCAGATAAGAATTAAATATGGAATAACCGTTGCTGGTAATCGTTAGGATAATTAAACTGCAGGATGTAGACGTGCTCGCGCAATTGATCTACGGAGTTAGATATCTCGACATCAGAGTCGGACACTACCCCAATACTAATTCGGTATGGTGGGCGAATCATGGAGTATTCAGAACTGTTCCTATGCAGATCATCATAAATCAGGTGAAGACCTTCCTCGACAAGACGAACGAGATCGTAATATTCGACGTCCAGGAATTTCCAGTTGGTAATATATTTTAGCGTTAAAACGAACAGCCAACAACTCTTATTCGGGCAAAAATAGTACAGCCACGAATGCAACATTCTTTTCTGTGCTCTTTAAAATACATGTGCTTTTAAAATACATTTGAAATACTGTTACGCCTGAATGCCGTGTTGAATTCATTCGCAATATTCTTACATTAAAAATGCCATTGATTCAAAAGATTATTAATTTAGTGTAAAATTTTATATAATAAATAAACAAAATTAATGGATTTTGGGAATTTTTTTTTTAGTGGATTAAATTATAAGAGCCATTCGAAAATCATATTAGATTTTAAAATGCCTTACTTATTATCTGACCTAATCATCATTATCGGGACTAATCCTATCTACAATCTTATTTGTTTCGTATCGAATTGAAACGAGCACAGCAGATTATGAATATTATAAATGAAACATAGAGACAAAACACAAGGCTAACATTACATCATGATGTAATTTATCACTACTCAATTAATGACAATAACAATAGCAAGATTATGCAAGTCATAGCTAGGACTTATATAAATTATTATATAAATTATATAGAAATTATATCTATAAATAATAATTTTATTATTTATGTGAAAATATATGCTGATGGTGTTGTTAGGCTTCGGAAAAAATCTGGCGGTACATCACGACTTCGTTGCATTCCTCGAGGAACAATTCGCCGGGTACTACTTGCCGAAGAGTTACGGGTGGACCAGCGCGCTAAATACGATCTGGTCATCCGCGAAAAGACTTATTATTGGTTATGATGAGAGACGAGTCGTCAGTCGCTACGAAAGCATATGGCCTTGTGTGACACATCAATGGGGAAACGTTAGGACTATCGAAGACTTGTTTAACCATCTGAATCGCATCGAAACGGAAAGTCTTGGGTATGTGAATCTTATATAAAGCCAAATACTAAGTAGTCCTATCCAAGACTATTCTTTTCATCATATCTACTTTTGTAGGCAATGATTTTCGCAATAAATTATTCGCAGATTTAAGATTCTCATTAGTCATTAACAACATATTAATATTTTTATAAAGATGCTTATTAGCATCAAAAATTGTTAAAATGTTTGTTAATTTAAAAAGTAATATTACTACTCTGATTCTACTCATAACTGCGTTTCAAAACCGAAAAAGATTTTGGCGTAAGGTTTGTAGAATGAGATATGTATATAAAGTCAGAGAAATATTTAAGCAATCCGAAGATCCGACTAAATATAGGATTTCTCTTATTTAATTAAATCTACTTTTGATTTTATAAGTATTTTCGCTACTTGAGAGGTATTATTTTAAGTAAAGTATATGACAGACGGGTATCTTAGTACTATTAATTAATCTAGGATCTATTAGATCTTAATAATAGCTAAACCTATTAAGTTTTTAATAATCTCAATTGTTAACTGGATTTCTTAAAAAAAAAAAGATCTTTAATTCTGCTCTTTATCTCTGTATAGCATGAAGAGATATAACGTAAATTTAGAGGGCATGTATTTGAAATACTTTTATTTAAAACACAGTATTTGCAATACAAGTGTATTTCAACGAAGCACATAAAAGTATTACGTATTTTGTACTTAAAATTGAAAGATTGAAAGTTTTTTGTATTTTATAACAATAAGATTGATTGTCATACTTATTGGTATGTATTTGTGTGAAATACAAAATACAAAACTTTTATATACTTCCATGTAATACAAAATACAAACTTATTTTCATGTGCTCCGTTAAAATATAAAATACAATTGTTTTAGAAATATTGTTTTTTAAATAAAAGTATTTCAAATACATGCCCTGCGCAAATTTTAATTTCGTCGATCTGGCGATTCTCATTTCAGACAACCTAGATCAATACCAAGATCGGCGATGGCAGAACTAACGCCCAACACGTGGGATGTAATTTTAAACCGGCTTGGAAGTATCCGCCAAATGGCGGAAAATGTTAATATCAACGTTACAAATTGGTACAACAGCAAATGGCAAAACACTGCCAATATCGTTGCTGTCGATTTCGTCCGATCGTCCGGTATCATCGAAACCGCGATCGAATGGAACGAAAGACGAAATTCGTATTGTTAAAATCTTTCCTATTCCCTGTTAGCGCGAGAATTGAAAGAAAACGTACAAACTAAAGTTTATTAATTCACATTAATTCGAACAAATCAGTTTTTATACAAATAGTACTTAATAACTTATTATTTTGCTCCTATGATTTTATCTACAGTTACGTGTTGTACGAATATTAATAAAGTTTATATACAAAGTGGGCCATGTAATTAAGCAATATCTAATAAAAAGATGTAAATATCTTTCAAAATATCCATTCTTCGTTTTTCCATTATTTTAAAAGTAGAAATATAAACATTTTTTTAAAATTTAAACCTATTAAATAATAATACTGTTATGATATGTATATGGATTCATCGCAGCGTTTAAACCAAAAAAAGAAAACAATATCTAAGAGAGTTTTAATTAGGTAATTTAAATTTAGTTCACATGAAAATAATTAAATCAACCCTCTATTGCCTTCTCAAGAAATCTAGATAAAGCGTAACATAGTTAATCACATAATACGTTTGCTTTTTCGCGTGATCATCATAGTTCCGCCGGATGTGCGAATAATGCTCTAGTCAAGGTAACCCAGAGAAACGAAATTGTCGTATACAGGTGCGCGATGCAACGAAATCAGTTCATCATCCGGTACAGACGATGTTAGTCACGAATACGAAACTGACGAGATCTAATCCGTCGTGTTTCTTCTATATAGAAAACGATTTATATATAGATACAACTTATATATAGACACAATTTTCAGAAAAAGAATCTGAGAAAGAACGATAATCTCTTTAAAAAGTCGATCGAGCTTCTATATTCCTTTTATGAAAAGGGTCGTTTTATTAGATTTCGCTAGTCGAAGTCAACTGACGTCGAGATTACCAATTATACGAAACTAGCAAACTTATCCTCGTCGTGTTACCATCTCGTTTGCATTTATATCCAGAAAATGTGCTGCCTGTTGCTACTGCTTTTACTGCCGATCGTAACTTCGGAGCTGTGCGACAATCCTTGGTATCAGTACGATACCATATGCCAAAATAATTCTCTTTCTTGTCCTAGTAATCAAAAGTGCGTGTTCATCGAGTACTGCCCGGGGGTTGTATCCCTAATGGATCGAAACGCGCTTTCCTCTCACAGGTAACGTGATTATTGTCTTTTTATATTGAAGGGACGAGTACATATTTACAAACGTCGATTTTTTAAGCGCAGATTACGACAAGCGGTATGCGGGTACGATCGAACACATGTAAAAATTTGCTGCAGCGTTAATAGTTACACCGAACGGCCAGTATATCCAGATAGAAATCTGGATGTATATCCGACGCAACTATCTTCAAATTTTCAGTGTGGAAAAAGTATTGTTCAGAGTAACGTAAACACTTTAGGATCGTATCCATTTGTCGCAAGAATCGGTTTCATAAGCAAGTACTTTGCATGTATACGGAAATACTTGTATTATACAGAAATTGTGTAATATACAGGATGTCCCAGAAACTGTTAATTGTCTCTAAATTGTAACACAGCTGTAAAAAATCATCAATTTTTCATTGATGACATTGAAAGTACTGATAGTTTGTTTCAAATTTATCAATGAAAATGCAAGACAAAGAATTTCTGTGACATCATGTACACAGCAAAAATTATATACAATTTTGTTCGAAGGATGAGAAAGAGAGAAAGTTAACTATATTTCTTTTATTATATAAGACATGCGTTTTCAGACTGTTAGCAAGAATTCGCTTTTAGATACATTAACGGGTGAGATCAAATACTCGTGCAATGGCGTGATTGTTAATGAGCGTACTGTATTGACTACAGCTACATGCGCACTCGCGAAATCGGACAGATACAAATTGTACGTATATAGCAGTCGAAAATAAAATATAACGAATGATCGTTACTCATATTTTCGATCGTAGCATTAAATTGTAGCATGCACTGATTATAATAATCCTTATTTATCTTTAGATGCTCTGTGCTTATTGGTGAATATAATACAGAGTCCAATCCAGATTGCAATAATTTGTTTTGCGGACACAAAACCAGTAGCCACGACATATCGTATGTGGTAAAACATCCGGGCTACAACGCCGCAAGTTATTCCAACAACATCGCCTTACTTCGCTTGAAGAAGGCTATCGAATTTACAGGTATGTACAGTTCTTAAATATACACGTCGAAGATACTGTGATGATCACAGCCTCAATACGGGAGGAAATAGCAATTCGGTCTTCTTCAGCCACAGCTCAACCAATCTGCTTTATACCGGAAGACAGATACGTTAGCCTAGGAAGTACATGCACTGTTGTCGGCTGGGGAAAATTGTTAGGTCAAAAAGGTATTGTATTAATAGAACAAACTATCATAAAGCATAAACTGTAAGCTGTGTTTATGTAACGTTCAAGTGCTGTAACCCTGTGATCCAGCGCAACCATTGACGCAACAGTCATTACAACTAGAACTCGTACCTAAGCAGCAGTGCTCGGACTATATAAGCCAAGCTCTATCTGTTGAATTATGCGCCAAAGGAAACTGTGAACCTTGCTCAAGTTACAGCGGTAGTCCTCTGTTATACAAATATGCGGACATGTATTTCCTGGTATGTTATCAACATAAATATTTACATATACTACAGACGTAGTTCACATATTTATGTTTTCCATTTTTTGTTTTTTAATCAGGTTGGAATCCTATCATTTGGGTCTAGTTGTGACTCAAGCACCATTTTTCCGTCTGCATTTGTAAATGTACAGAAATATACAAAGTGGATTTTAGAAAATTCTTAAAGTTAGAAAAATATAAAAAACGTCTCGAAACGTTTTTTAAGAATGCCGATTGTAGTATTGCATTTTCACGAGTTTTATTTTTTGCAAATCTAAAATGTATTATTTATGTTTAAATATATTCAAATATTTGCCGCGTGTCATTTCCTTAGCCTCTTCTAGACCCAGTTGATAAGCTAAATCGTGCAGTCTTTTCACTTCCGAGATAAGCCCGGTCATTGACAAATTACCCAGTTCTGCAAGAAAATATTTTAGCAATGGGATGAAGAATTATATGTTATGCATATCAACTCACGATGCACATGGCTTATGTCATCCTGCGACATCGCAGCCCAAAAACATGGTTCTGTCTGCGGTGAATTTTGAGCAACAAACTCATGTACACCTGGAACTTCATTGCTCGCTACATATATGATGTATTGTGTATACATAGCTCATAAATGATCCTTAAAAAATTTACTCACTCTGCTCAGGCCATAAATCAGGAGATGCTCTATCCAATTTCTCTAGACTCATGAGACTCTCCTCTATGCAAGACAAGTCTATAAAACAAGAGTCAACTATTTTTATTTTTTTTCAGTTGAAAAATACTTTTATTATAATATTTAAAAAACATTATATCATTATTTATATATA